AGGGCCAAAGCCGGCGGCACCGCCACCCCGGTGCCTTTAGGTAACTAAAGGAACCGGGGTTGCGGTGCCACCGGCTTGGGCCCGTAATCGCTGCTCGCAGCTATATTTAATCTTATTTTTGTTTCCCCACCTCTCCGTGTTAATTTGACATGTTTAATAACTGTTAGTTTAAAAAAAAAAACTCCCTTGTGACTGTAACCTTGTCGTGGTAAGGGAGCTTGTGTACCTCAATGAACCCTGAGAGCTATGCCGGTGGGAGGCAACTCCAGGCTTTACCAACCTGGACAGGTCATGGGTGAGGAGTCAGACAAAACACAGTCAAACTACCTCTCTTGACAGAGTCTCTTGAGGAACCCAATACATTTCTATGAGAACATGTATCATTTAAAGATCCACATGGCGGGCGGCAGTAATCCTGAAAAATTGCCACCATCTTGAAATTTTATGTTGCTGTGGGCGGTTTCTTGTCAAATGACCCTTTGAGACAGCTCATAGCAATTTTCATGCTTGAATCACCAACTAAATGATTTCTTAAGCCTACTTGCTCCACTAAGGTGGTGGCCATCTTGAAAAATGGCCACCATCTTGAAAGTTCAAGTAGCTGTGGGTGGCTTATTGTCTAGTGACCATCAGAGACTGCTCATGCCAATTTTCATGCTTGTATCACCAAATAAAGCAACTGCTCCACTAAGGTGTCGGCCATCTTGAAAAATGTCGGCCATCTTGAAATTTTTAGTGGCTCGGACAATTTTCTTGGTCAAGTGACCCATGGAGACTGCTCATGCCAATTTTCACGCTTGTATCATAAACTGAGCGATTATATCACTTAGCCGCTCCACTAACAGTCACACAGAATATGATAAATGGAAGCTAAACCAAACTTGCTTGACGTGCCTCAGACAAGCTTGCCAAACATGAGGAATTGGTCCTCGTGCGTCAAGCAGACATTTTTAAGCGTTCGAGCTCAAAAGCGATCGTGCCGCTTCAGAAGGCCTGGATTAAACGGTTCAATTCATACGGTTACATTTACTAAGTCTTTATTAAGTTTTGGTTGAGTGGCCTTTCAATAGAGCGACAGAAATCACTCAGGTTTCATTAAAAATATCTTCCATTTGTGTTTCAAAGATGGATAAAAGTCTTATGGGTTTGGAACAAAATAAGGATGAGTAATTGAAGACAATTTAAATTTTTGGGTAAGCTAAACCTTTAAGGTAAACAAAGTTGGGTATTTGTCCTAATACCAGAGAAGAACACATCAGTAGACATTTAGTGCATTAAATAGGAGTTTTTAATGAAATGTTATGTTGTGGGTGGTTACTAGGGTGTAGAAACAGCAAGCTGTTCTGGGCTTTTTTTTTCTTTTTCTTTAGAGATGTTGCTATGCAATTGTTCTGAGTTTTTTCTTACTGGCCAAGTCAAGTGTCAAACACCCAAGTTTCTAGATATGTCTCGGGTTCCTTCTTCAATGCAAGATTTTATCAATGTTATCATTCACTAGGTAAAAAAAATAAAATAAATAAATAAATTCACTTAACTGACATCACTGTTAAGCAACATAAGCAAAACTCTCAGTGATGCTCGTCTTAAACGGCAATAAAAGATTAGCAATTGACTTTTGCTTAAAGAAACACAAGAGCCCCACTCATGTCCATGATGTAATGTTGAATGTTGGTTCAACAGATTCAACTGAAGTGATGAAAAGCTATGGACCATATTGAGATGAAAGTGGGCAGACTTCTGCATACTGATGGCCTCAGTGGAGTGTTTTAAATGGATGGCTCGACTCTCCATCTGCTGCATGCGGTAAGTGTGATGGTTTGATAGGGAGAGAGATTTGTCACACTGTTTGTGTTAATAAATGGCAGACTGCTGGCCTGGAAGCAGCCTCCTGTCACACAACGCTTGATTTACGACAGCCGTGGGGGTGGCGATGATGTGAACTGGCGGGGCTGGGGTCAGGCGTAAGAAGAAACTACAAAGGCAGTAACAGATAGGGTGCACGGGACCGGCATCGTCAGTCTGTCTGGTGTCAGACGTTATGGTTGGACTTTCTGACAGTTGATCCAGTGTGTATTGATAGCATAATGTGTTAATGAAGATAAAGAAACGCTGCGGGATGGGAGGTCACCGATAAGTGCTGTGGGATGCCTGAGAAACAATGGCACTGATGGGAGATTTACAGCAGCAGCACTCGAGAGAAAACATGCAGATCAGTTGTGATGTGATCTATCAGCTGTCCCAAATAAGCCCCGCCCTCTTTTTTTGTCTACCAAAATAAACAGCCAAAAACTAAATCCACAACTAAGTCTGAATCCACTTTTGCCATTTTTACAACGGGAAAAATGGTCTGCGCACCCGGCGCATGGTCTTAAAGGGTTGTCCCTATTCTCTTAATGAGTAATGGGTGTGTTTTGGGCGTAACGTGCAAGCGGAAAGACTGAACGCTTCTCTAGCGAGCGCGCGAGAGGTAAAAGCGTGCATGCAGAACATCTACGGGACAAAGTGTACGTGCGTTGTGGACCCGCCTATAGGCGCATTTTACTAATGCGCCCTTTAAAATAACAAAAAATATATTGCGTCATTGACTTTAGACCAGGTTTCAGCTGGTCAATGGCGCAGTCTATTTCAGTTGCCTCAAAATAGCAACGCACCAATAATGCGCCTGAACACACCTCGTTTTCAGACCAGCACGCAAATGGGCGCAAATGCATTTGCTATTTAAACAATGTGGCACAGGACGTGAAAATGATAACTGCGTTGGGCTGAAACTATCAAAAAACACTTGCGTCGCGCTTGGCGCTGCATTGCGACGAGTGTATGATAGGGTCCTAATTGTTAACTATTGGCGCTTTTCCACTACACAGTACCAGCTCGCCTCGGCTCGGCTCGCCTTTGTTTGGTTTTCCACTGTGTAAAAGTTGTACCTGTACCTGCTTTCGGGTACTTTTTTTCGTACCACCTCCGGCGAGGTTCTAAGCGAGCTGAGGCGATACTAAAATGTGACGTGAAAACAATGCCGACTGCTGATTGGTCAGCGAGAATCGTCACTATTCACTGCGTCATCATTGCACGCGCCAGATGGAGTATCCAGAATAACCCCGCCATTTTTAAATAGTTTGGCCAGAGATAGTTACTAAACTTACTACTAGGCAACTCGGAAGAATACGCCGTGGTCAAACAAGGAGGTGCAGACATTCCTTTGTTTGGTTGCCGAAGAGAGGATCCAGCGAGAGCTTGATGGGGCAACGAGGAACGTAAGGCGTCGCTATGACGACCAGGTACTATTTGTGGCGGTACTTTCTGCAATGGAAAACGGAGCGAAAAGCGAGCCGAGGCGAGTCGAGTCAAGCTGGTACTGGTAATGGAAAAGCACCACATATTGCTAGTCGTCTTAAGTCATACAATAGCTTTGTGTGAAGAATAGACAGAAATTTAAGTAATTATTCACTGAAACTTTGTGAACTAACTGTTCTTTTGAAACCTTTTCAGGTAATTGGCAAGTAACTGACCATTTTCAGTTACAGATGACCTACCCCATTTAAGGGCAGTGTCTCAAAACCTGCAGACAGTAAACCATTAAATATAACTGTACGAGCAGGAAAGCTGTAATGAGTTGTTAGCTGACAGTGTGACATCATGTCAAGACATGGCAGGTTTCGCTCACTGGTGGTCTGTATGAAGTGCTTACTCTCTATACTGTCACATTCAGGACCATTTACCTGAGACCACAGTATTCATTGCATTTTAAATCGGCCCTGATAGAGCCCATAGGCTTGGTAATTTGATTGCCATCGTTGTGCCAATGCATTACGGAGAGTGCTGTCTCCTAAAGCTGTCTTCTTTCTGCTTCCTCTCCACCCACTCAATTTCACACAAATATATGCAATCCCACAGAAGGGGAAGGGATAATCAGGGGAGAATGTCTCACCCGAAGGATCGTGTGGTGTACAGGACGTCGTACAGCAGTGGAACTGTGGCTCATTGGGCCAGTAACTCATGTGACAGCAGGGAAATGGTTCTTATAGCAGAGTGCGATCTATCATTGTTAACACAGGGAAAAGCCTGAGAGTATCTACACTGCCTCAGTGTTTAGGACTGATCTTAGGGCTCTTTTTAGAGACATGAGTCTTGATGTAAGCGTTGAGTTAGTTTGGATGGTATGAAAGTAGCTTTCCACATTTGGAAATTGTGGTTCAAGGTGATTTTGGATATGGTAGCTCCTGGTCATACTTACATGTCCAAGTAAAGTGTGTTTGATGGTTCATGGTGCCGTTTTTTTTAAGTTTTTTTTTTTTAAGATGCTACAATTGTTCATTTTGTCCTTGACTATTAAACATATCTGAAGGCCCCTGTGTGAGTTTGCACAGACACCACATTGGTAAAGCGCACATTTGTGTTTTTAAGCCTCTGAGATGCATACTGCAATAAGACAGAATGTATCTGTAGGGCCCTATGATTTTAGCCATGCGGAAAATGTGTACAGATTTGCAGAATCCAATCATAAAACTGGAATTTACAGTATATCACAGAATGTCATGTAACTGGCCAATTTTTGATGAAAAATTAAAAGGGCTGTATACTTAATCTAATCGTGATATGGACTATGAATATTGAAGTGTATAAAAAACCCTGCTGTTTAATTATGAAGTCTGTATGTTCTGCACAGCATAGGGCCCTAAAAATGTCATTTTTATTATTGCAATTAATTCAGCATGCTTTTTGATTACTAAAATTGAATTTAACCATTGAAATGGAAAATCCAGAAAATTTTAAATGGTACAAATGGAATTTGGGAATATTTAAACAGATTTTATAGGGACCAATATAAGTAGTCTTTAATATGTGTATGATTTTTTTTAATAAACAGAATTAATTTAAAATACCAATTATTCCTTGTGGATCAATTCAGAAAAACTGAAAATGTGTACTACATCACGTTCTGTTAATCGGAAGCTTTTATTGAGAGCACCTGTACAGTTTATATAGTTCTCTGTACATACTGTGTTTTTGGAAGGCTCCCAGGGTTCCACTTTGCTGACGTCCTGCATGTCCTGAAGTTGTCGCAGCTGGGACAGAGTGTGGTGACGCAGGGCCTCGTGCAGCGGCGTGTCTCCGTCCTTGTCTTGCACGTCTAACTTCGCCTCGGCTCGCACCAAGAGCTGGACACAAACACCGAGACTAAATGTAACCAGTGTGTTCTCAGTCATGGTAGATATAATTATGCTCATGTTAATCGATGCGGACGAAACAAGACAACTATGACATCTGAAGCACAGGTGTCAAATTTCATCATGCATGTATAATGTTTGAGACAAAAAAAAAAAACATTTTTGTTTGATCATTAAGTGAAATATTTCTCAACAGACCATGCCATTACAGAAGTTTTGAAAAGAGGAGAGTTGCACTGCTCTTATATGACCACACGATGGCGCTTTCGATTCTATTGATTCCTCCTTCACCACCCCCGCTCCCCGTACCTCTCCTGGCGTAGTCCAGATTGCTCGGGACTAAATGAAGGGGATAAATCTGCAGCAGAACTCCCTGCATTTAAATCTTAAGCCGGGGCACTTAGCTACATTGCTTCATCAATGCGTTTGTGTTGAGTGGGACGCCAGATCGCTGGGTGAGGGGTGCAGACATCAAACATTGAAGGCAAATGAAGAGAACAGAACAGGAGGAAGACAGAGCCACTTACTCGCACTATCTGGGTGTGCTGACGCTCGACCGCAAGGTGCAATGCCGTCTGCTGGTTAACGTTCTGTACGTCCAAATTAGCATTTCCCTATGGAGAGAGAAAGAGCAAATCAATCGGTTGACCTGAGAAATATAAATGGTTTAAACTTGAACAACTATGATATACGCATTTATATAGATGCTATTAGATAAGATGCCTTACAAAGCAAAACAAAGTGATTGTGCGTATTTGTTCATTTACATTCCACTTTTTTTAAATGTTCAATAACAGTCAGTGTCCGTTTCACTTCTCATCCACTGAAGATAAATCGGTGCTCATGAGGATGCCTTCGAGTCCCATAGGTTGTGTTAAGAAATGTGAGCTAATGGTGATTGGTATTCAGATATTCCCTGACTGAACCCCCATAGCAGCATCTCTCTGCATTACTGCAGTGCAGCTCTACTGTGGTTCGCAGGCTGAGGCTTAAGTCACTGGTGTGAACCTTTTCTTTGTCTCTCCCTCTCTTCCCTCATGGCAGGTACTTGACAAAGGGCTGCACTGAGCCAGCACAGCAGTCTCATAACACTGCTGGAATGTTGCAATAACGTTGTTACTGTGTCGCGGCATAACGCTGAGCCACAGTGTCACGCTGCACTGTGGCGTAGGAGGTAAGGAGCTATGGAGAATCCTGCATTTTTAAGACAGTGATGCAAGTTTAGGGACAGGTCAACTGGAGACCAGTCTTCTTCAATTCAAGAATTTAATTAGCATTAAAAAAAATTGTCATTAATAACTTCATAATTACATCTGATGATTTTGAGCTCGCAAATATTTGAAAGGGAATTAAAGGGAAACCTGCCACTCGCGTGAGATCATAGCTAATGCAAATGGCAACGATCCAACAATCCAATCAATTTCCGTTGGAAAAAAAACAAGTCCAAGCCTACTTTTTTTTTTCTTGTTCGAGATGCTGTTTTACTTGGATATACCTCACAATAGGGACAAAAAGACTATCATAACTTCTGTTTTTAAGAGTCATTATGACAAGAGGTGCACTGGTCGACCAGCCATAAATCAGAACCGGACGGTCTTTGCAATAAACATGCTCGGCAACCGGTTTCTTGTTTTATTTCGGACTTGCACACAAACTGCATTGCAATAATAGGCCAAAACGTCATTTGTGTGGAAATATTACGAGGTCTGTAAACAGGACGTTAACAGGCCAGAGACGGGATACGCTGAAGACCGACGCAAAGAGGAGAGGAGAGCACAGATACTTCACCAGCAAGTTTGTGCTGCTCAAAATATTGGAAGAAAAATATAAATATTGAATTGGGGGGAGGAGATTTATATGAATAATATAACTCTGAAGGGAACTACCTGTCTTCAGGAAAGTTGATGGCATTTTCTTTTCCTTTTGCTTCTGTATAATGCCATTGCCCATTAAAGAAGTGTTTAGAAGTGCAGCTGCTTTCGTTTACAGCGGTAACTCTAAGCGCCACCTTCTGTCAGAGAGTGAATTTACCTTTTCATTGAGCAGGTATGTTTTATGTAGCATAATTACACAAAGCTAAAGTCAGACCATACTGTTTTTGCTTTAAAGTCCCCCTGTAGTCAATAATTGTATCCCTTAAATATCATCTTTAATCACCAAAATGACATTTAAAAAACAATTCCTGTAAAAAGAATTTCTTCATACCGTAAAATAGCTTCAATGTAACACTACACCCTTGCTTCATTTAGTATGCCCGAATCTCCAGCTCAGAGATCCACTTGGTCAACTTTACTGTAGTAAACGCTGCCCAATGGTTTCGTGCTTTACAATGTCGGACACATAACAGTAATTAATAAATTAGCCTTTTGCTTGACTGCGTTATCAAACAGCTAATAATGTGTAGCTACTGCTACACAAACCATGTTCCTGTTCGCTATCTCAGTCTGCCTTCTAAAAATCAGTATCCTTAGAAACGCTTTGAACAACTCAGAACGTCAATGGAGAAAGGCATAGTTCATCATAACATCGTTACATACATTATATACAAAATTAATCCGCTATAATGCTAAATGTACACGATTTTTCATATCAACTGAAAAATATAGCGGAATAACCTGACATCTCTCGAGACTCCCCTGCTTCGCTGTTAATGATATGCTAAAGCCCGCCCGCACATTGACCTGAATGGTTACAAGGTGGTTTGTGACGTCAGAAACACCAGCGATTTAAAATCTTTGCTTCACTGCAGTTTTAAGGAGAAAATATTTAGTAATGGTATTGACTTACGACTTTGCACATGGTTTGTCTTAAAGCATATTAAAAACACCACACAGACATATAAACAACTTTAAAAACTTGATTTTCACCACAGGGGGACTTCCGTGCAAATTATACAATCTAATTCAAATAAAAAACAACTGGTTATGTTGCATGTGTGTAGCATCTTTGTTTGGATCATGGTTAAAATGCAGTGGTTGCCTCTAATTTCAAATGTTTACAGATATTATTTTGTTTATGACCAGTTTAAGCTGTAATAGAGCAAAAATAAAAATAAAAATGGGGGCAACCTGTATCAGAATCGGCCCATTTGCTTAAAAAAAAAAAAAAAGGCAATTTGATTCGGCCATGAATAATCATGATCGGTGCATCCCTAATTATGACTGACCTACTTCAATGAGAGCTGGGTAACAAGTGAACTTTCTCAGCTCTTCTGCACCCCTGATGACATTAACTGCATCAATTATCCACCTGAATCATAATCTGCAGGATACAGTACAGGGTCTCCAGGATGGGTCCTTTCGTACAGTGCAATGTGTGCGTGTGCATGTTAGAACTGCTGACCTGGTGGACTAGAAGCTCTGCCACCTCCACGTGGTTGTTGAGGGCGGCCAGGTGAAGCGCAGTGTAACCATCATCCTTTTTCTCATCCACTATCCATGGCCGTGGCAATTTGGACAGCAGCACCCGCATAGCACTGCAAAACAAAGATGAGAATACAAATCTTAGCATTTGAAAAGATGAACTAATAAACATGTAATTAGTGCGACGGCTTCCTTGGATGTGGTTAGACTGAAGGGCGCATAAAGGCAACTGAAGTCAGGAACATAACCATAACAATAAAAACTGAAAGCATACCACAAATCAACAGGGAACGACAAACCGTTTTCTACCAGCTTTTCAGATCAGCAGGTAAGAGCACAGCATACATCCATAACGCAGAGGTTAAAACAGAAAGCTGATCAAGAGTTGATGCAGCACCAGCAATAAGATAGTTGCCTGTCCTGGAGAAACTAGCGTTCAACGTCAAAAAACGAGTAAACTAGAAAACTAGTGTAGAGAATATATGACCGCCACAGACTAGCTGGAATACAGGCAGAATGATGACAGCGTGCGAGAAGAGAGGAAGGGGCAAGTAATGGGTTGCAGTAATAAACTACTAAAGGGTAATGAGGGGTAATAGTGCAATGATTATTATGAGGAAGAATATAATTTTCTTGTATTTGGTGATACTTAAATATGTAAATAGTAGAAACATACATACTTGGAAGTTACAGTAATGATCCATCATGAAAACCACTGAGTGCTTTTTCAACTTAATAACATTTGGTCAAGGTAAGCTATTTAAAACATCTTAAAAATGTCTAATAAAAAAAATAAAAAAAACAGTACATTGATCAATGTGCCACATAATGTCTGATTTATCTGTCCAGTACTTGAATAGCATCCCTAGTAAATGCATATGAATGTAAAACAAAAGGAAACAAATAAGTAATACAGATAAAACAGCCACTATAGAGGTCATGCCATCCATCCAACCCTATCAAACCTCCGAAAGACTGACAAAATCAAGGAAATTGCGAATCACTTTATGCATTGCTCATCTGGTTATTCACAGTACTCAAGAACAAATGCGGGGTTAGTATTCTCAAATGTCTTTAAATGTTAAGGTTGTTCTTGAGGTGTCATTGGTGGAATGTAATGAGAAGAAATAAGTGAAGAGGCTTCTAAAAGAAGAGAGAATGGAAAAAAAGAAAGAAATTGATGAATGTAATTTCAGAGATGAGGTGGATTTGTGGAAGCCTCTGGAGTGCTGATTTTTGCTGCAGGGTGAATTCTGGTAAATCCAAAGCTGGTATCTAGTTTCTTAGGTAGTGCGGAGAGAGAGAGAGCATCAGCTCAGTACACATTTGGAGCGCTGTGCAGCAAAGCAGCTGTACTGCAGTGTACACAGCATGCACATACACACAGCCCTGAAACATCTTTACACCTGCAATGCTCATGGAGTGTTGGAGTCTGTGGACATGCTCCTTAAGTTACTGATCATCTTGTGCATAAGTTCAAGTCAATTTGATTATCGGCACAGTGAGGAAAGTAAGGAAAACCAATGTTTTGAGTGCATCAAGTCGTACAACAATAGATGCATTCTGGTGCAAGACAAGATTTGGTGATGGACTCCTACCTTCAGAAAGGTACAGGAAATGGCCTGGCACTGGTGCACTCCTGTGTTGGTAGCAATAATAAGGATTGGTGCCAATAAGGTGCTGGCATTGTGAGTGGTGAGCAGATGCGGCATTAGATTGACAGGCTGCCTGCCACGGTGGTAGAAATGGGCAGGCATTAATATTAATGCAGCTTGCTGGCACTACTGCATTGCAGTCAACTTTTTTTTGAGGAGGAGTTCAAAGAACACTAAACATATGCAGTCTATGGGACAAACCCCTTGCAATTCCTTCCTGGAACTGATTTGCTCTACTGTGAGCAAAGGAAAATGCAGATGATGAATGGCTTGTTTTTGGTGGCAAACCTTTATAGGGATTTGATATCGACCTGAGGTAGGTAAACAGTTGCCATTTAAGAGCTAAAGAACAAGGCTCAGAGGACACAACGTGACTGAAGTAGCAGTCTGAACGCCAAAATGAACATGGGGGCAAATGTAGAACTGAAAGAAAGTGGAAAAAGCAAGATGAGAAGTAAGGTGAAGGAAAAGCAAGAACTGGGTCATCCTGTGAGATACGAAGATCCCTCAGGAGTACGCCAACAGGGCCTGTTGTCTCCGGTAGCCTCATGGTAATTTGTCATAGACCTGGAGCTTACTGTTACTAGGAAGGGAAATGGCTAACGCTACCTTACTGTAGTGGTTCCCAACCCTGGTTCTGGTCCACCGCCCCCCACACAAATTATATGTGGGCCTGGATAAGGTGAACCAGTTAACTCTGGTTACACTGGAATAAGCACCAATTTTTATGATCAAGACCTCAAGACTATAAAGTTGTGATGGTTTGCTGGCACCATCTCTTGGCAAACACTGTGGGTGAGACACTAAGTTCATATAAATGTGTGTGCTGTGCCATTGGAGTGGTAGCTTTTTTCTTCATGTTTTCGTAAGCCATGTCAAGCACCAGATCACAAATAACAGCCTAACACCTGTACTAATGCCGAAAAAAGAAAGAAAGAAAAAGAGCAATGGCTGAAATGAGAGTAATTGGAACAATTAAGAATAATCAAGAGGGAAAGTGGATCTGCATCTCAGAATTTCTGCTGAGTGAAGAGGAGTTTGTTATTAAGTGCAGCTTTCATAAAGCCCTCTTTAAAGTGACTTCCTGCCAACTTGCTCTTTATTGGACATATGGCTGTGCAACTGTAATAAAACCCATTAGCATTAAAAGTGTGGTCAATAACTGAATTTTTACACTGGTTGTTACTGATGACTCGGATATAGTAAATCATTTAGTGAAAATGTTTGAAGAAGGTATTGCACAGCATTACAAACCATAATCGCTTACTTTTACAGATATGTCTGTCTCACGCAGTCAACGAGGGACCCAACGGCACAGTAATATCCATGACCTAATTATCTATACTGTTACTTGTGGCATACTGATTAAAAAAAGATGGTATTTAAAAGTGAAATCTATATTTCACTTACACTATGCATATATGCTTTGCTGCACATTGAGTGTCAAGAAACATTCAATTGAAAATACCTCAAATAAGTCCTCCAGTGATCTTAAAAGCATAATAAATACTAATTCATGTAAGCACAATTGATTTAAAGTCGCCCTTCTAATCTTGTTTATATGTCTATGTGGTGTTTTTAATATGCTTTAACACAAACCAAATGCAAATTCTTAAGTCAACACCAATGCTGAGTATTTCCTCTTTAAAACTGCAGTAAACCAAAGACAGTCTCAAAAATGCAGTTTGAAATCGCTGGTGTTTCTGACGTCACAAACTATCTTGTAACCAATCACGTCAACTTGTGATCGTCAACGAGTGAATCTCTGAGCATATTCATAGAACAGCGTAAAATAAATGAGGCAAGGGTGTAGAATTACATTCAAGCTATTTTAAGGCATGACGAATTTCTTTCAAGGAAAGAACATTTAAATGTGTAATTTTGGTGATCAAAGATGAGTTCTAAGGCATATAATGATTGACTACAGGGGGACTTTAAACATTTTTCTGTATTTTCTAGATTGGAGGAAAGTCATTTGACAACGAGTTAACGCTGATAATTATTTTCCATGTGTAATGATGGAAAATTCTTCGATTGGTGGCTGACTCACTTATGGGAGAGAGGAAGACATCTGTGTTATAAATCTTAAGCTTTAAATCCCCAAACTGTTTACTAGAGGTGGGAAAATTCAATCCAACAAAGTAGCTGAGCTGATTTTCAAGTTCTCAGACACAAGCAGAAAAGAAACACTAGACTAACAAGCCAGCAGACACATGTCTGATAAGTTTGTATCAAGGATACAGTTGGGTGTACTTGCATTCAGATGCCCATTAACAGCAGTATGATGCATTGATGAAAGGTTGATTTAATGATCCACATTGGGGTTCTATTTACAGCTTGCTCATGCATTACAGTCAGAAAATGCATTTATAATACATGTTTGGGTCTTGCCAAGGAAAGAGTATTAATTCGCCTTTGGCTAAGCCCCGCCCCCCTTAGTTACTGTTGCTACGTCCGACAAACAAACTTCATCTGGGCTCTGGTATCAACATGGCTTATGCTGTGACAGCTCTTCCTGCTGAAATTTTATCAAACTTTTATAAAGCAGCAAATAAAAGTGTCCGATAGAAGTAGGCAAAAGCGGCTGCAATATACGTTCGAAGGCTATATTCACGACATACAGGTGAAACGCAAGGAACAACAATATCCAATATCCAAGAGGCAAAAGCATACCGGTCACAGTCAAAAAATTAACCACCGCGTATCCTACTAATCGAGACGGAGGCTGGGACTAACAATATCAAGGAGCAACACTGTTCGTGCAAAGCTGGGTAGGTCTCTATTCACTTCTATAATCGTTATTACAAAGCAAACGGACTACGCGAGAATAACGTTGTATTATTAGCAGCGTGTGCTAGACGACACTTGTCAGGATTTGACCGGTTTTGGGAAGGGAAAAAAACGCACACCCCCCTCCAACCTCTCTGGGAAACGCGTATCTGTGTTACAAATGCCCCAGGCACAACGTTTAACCATATTTTTGATAAAACTACGACGGTAATAGCCTGCCAAGACCAAAAATATGAGACGCCTGTGTTAAAGTCAATGGAGCGCTGTGAAAAAGTGTTGCACGTCTGTGGGAGCTCGTTCTTGGTCAATCTACATTCTAGGGTGTGGCTTAGCCAAAGGCGAATAGTATAAGCAAGGAGTCGGCAGTATGACCAAAACCTTACATCACAGTATGAATGATTTTATATTACTGGAACTGTATTTAGCAAAATGGTCATTTGTAATGGAAATGCAACCTCAAATGAATAAAAAATATCTAATAAAATTCAAATGATAGATTTTTGTAGATCAATGCAAAAAAGTGTTATGTACAAGTAAGTCATCTTTAAAGTGGATGCTGGATAAAATACCATGCATAGAAACTATTTCTTTCTGGACATAGAAAGTGGAGATAATGGCTGAATCATGAGGCCATCAATGCTCAACTTCTCCATCATTATCTTACCTGC